TCAAAGGAGAAAGCATAAGGGAGGCGATGGAACCCAGATGTTATATTGACTTAAGTTTATTGACTGGCAGAGAAGTTCTCCAGTGATTAAGGACCTGCCAAAGCAGTGCTGGAGAAAAAAGGATATATGAGTTTACTTGTCTTGGCTTGTTGAATGACTAGGGCATTATGAGTATTAATTATTGGATTGGATTATAGACAGAGGTGCAAGGAACAGCTGTGCTATGCTGCTCAACTCTATTGATTGGTGTTTTTTCAGTACACATTGGTCTCAAAGGTCACTGAGAATTCTTCAGAGATAGCTATAATAATGTTTAATTTCTTGGAAAGTAATACAAAGAAGAATCCATTTAATGTCTTCTACTAGCCTGATAGTCTACTGCTTAAACCAAGAAATAGTATCTGGAAAGCATTTCTATGAAACTAAAAAATGTGTGTTAAAAAGACAAAGCTTGCTGGTGGCATTTCAGCCATGATCATGTCCAAGCAACCTGGCTTTCAGAAAGCGAAGAAACTCTTTCAAATACAGATGGTTCCCCCACTTAAAATGGTTTTACTTTAGGATGGTATGAAAGGGTACCCATGCAACTATTCTGTTTTTCCCTTTCAATACAGCATTCAATAAATTACATGAGATATTCAACATTTTATTATAAAATAATCTTTTTGTTAGATAATTTTGCCAACTGTAGTCCAGTGCTAGTGTTCTAAGACCATTTAAAGTAGGCCAGGCTAAGGTATGATGTGTTCAGTAGACTAAGTATAATAAATGCATTTTCATCTTAATGATATTTCAACATACAGTTTATTAAAATGAGATGTCACTATAAGTCAAGGAGCATCTGAAGTGAACAAAATGGATTTTTGAAATATTTCCCAAACCTGTGTTTACCAACATGGGCACATTACCCCGTAACTTTAAACTTTCGTTGCAGAAAGATTTCATAACTACTCTCTCAGCTCAAGATTTAGATCATATTGCTGAAGATAATTCTGTCCAACCACTTTGGTCAAAACAGTGCATTACAGAAGATATTTGTCAGGAGAATGGTCAGGACAGATTTTCTATAGGGAAGTTTGGCAGAACAAGGAAAAGATAGAGATATAGTAGCAAGCTCTTGGTGGGACTGTGGCTCTCAACTTCCTTACACAGCTTTACTGTCGTAAAACATTGTGATAAGAAAATGCAATTGTAGATGGGAAACTCACGAAGTCATTTTCTCAGAATCTACTGCCAAATTAAAACAGGCAAACAAGTTTACTATGTCAACTCTTGTTATCAGAAGAGAATAAGTAGTTTTCGAGTGAGAAGATCACATTGGGTAAAAACATGCAGTAGAAGACACATTTTCATGGGCTACACTGTTTTTTATTCTGTGCCTCTTAATAGCTTAAGAGAAGAGTCATAACCAAATGGTCAGATTCCACTGCCAGGACTATTGGCAGTTACCACACTAATTCCTTATCTAGCAATCTGTACTTAAATGCCATAATGGTATTGTGGTAACATGTTCCAAAGACTGTTCTTTGCTTTAGAAGATATAGTCTCACTAACCATCACCCTCCCAAGAATGCTGTCTGTGGAATTTGATGACATTGTTTCTACATCAAGAGGTAAAACTATAATAGTGTGGCCAGCCATGGTAGCACACGCCTGCAATCACAGCACTTGGGAGGCTCAGGCAGGATTGCCACAAGTTCAAAGACAGCTTGGGCTACATAGGGAGTTCAAGGCCAGTCTCAAGTAGTGAGCTCTGTCTCAAAACAAATTATAATAGTGTAGAACATAGTACTGTAAGTTGATAAGGATCAGAAATTGATACAAGGGAGGCTTTGCCCATTATGATACCATCAGTTATGGGACTGCACTAGTCTGCTAGGGTTACCATACCATAGACTGAGTAGCTTAACCAACAAAACTAACTTGGTAGGGTGATTTCTCCTGAGGCCTCTCATGGCTTGTACACAGTCACCTTCTTCTTGTTGCCTATGTCTCTTCCTCTTCTTATGAGGACATTAGTCCTAAAACCCTTCAGATTTCATTTAACCGTAATTACCTCTTCAGAGGACCTAGCTCCCTTCAGATACGTTCACACTGACATTAGGACTTCAGCCTGTGAATTGTGGAGGGTACAGTTCCATCCATAATACCTGTAATGTAGAACATGTTGATAAGTACTGATGGGCCATGTGATTTGGTGTGCTGCATTTGGTTCTGTAAGAAGAGAATACAGTTATCCATGGGCATTATGGTAGGAAGTGTAGTGAAGGATCTTCTACTAGGTCTTGCGGACCTCAGTAGCTCTGAAGGGGTTCTTCCATATGAACCCCTGTGGAAAGAAAATTCAGTGAAAGTTCTCAGATTGTCAGTCTAGAGTATGTCACAAGCCTGAAGTGAGACTTCTGCAATGATTCTGGTGCCTAAGCTGAATCTCCCTGCTGTCCTTCCCAGTAGCTATCTAGGGCTCATATGAATAATAATCCTGTACTGACAGCATATTTGCATAAGACTCATTAAAGCTGTTTCACAGTTATAGCAGGCCCAGCATAAAGAATGGAAATAAACCATCACAGGATTCCTGCAACTGGGGTTTTGAGTGTCGTGAAAGGAGCACAGTAGACCTGCAGGTGGTCCGGGACTGTTGGTCTTCCCAGCACAGATGACTGCTTAACTGTTGCTGTCCAAACATGTGTTTTAAGGGCCTGGGATGTAGCTTGGTGGCACCATGCCTGCCTGGCAAGTGCAAGGTCCTGAGTTGAATCCCCGGTACCAGGGAGGCAAAACAGATGTGTTTTAATCTCCGTTCTGCTGTGCCACTTTTCCCCCTTACTGGGTTCTGGACAGAAATGGCCTAGAAATATGTTTGGTTTTAGAAAAAAGAAAAATCTAGGTTTAAGTCCTGATTCTACCACCTACTAACTTGACTTCAGCCAAGTTAAGTTCTCTACTGATATCAGTTTTTTTTCATTTATTCAATGGAAATAAGAACACATCCCCTCACAGAGCTGTCGTGAGGATTCACATGTCATGAGGTAACACATAAACAGCTAGCATGATGCCTAGACCACAGCAGGCATTCAGCACATTTTAATTAGTTTTTCTGTAATTGTGCCAGCTAAGAAAATGAAAGAGAAGACATTTAGAGAAGAAAAAAGAAAGGGAATAATGAAAGGTTCCATTTTCAAATGAGTGATTTAGCATCAACACTCTAAAGTTATAAAAGTTTTATAAATCTAAGCAAAATCGTGCATTACATGTTATAAATTACTATGCTAGGCAGTATAATAGGCATTACATTTGAACCATTTGAATTCAGTTATCATTACTGTCCTTACAGCATATGACAGCAGTTAATTCCAAACTTATCCATTAAAATTTCCTGTTGATGTGTTAATAAATATTGCGGAATTGATTAAAGTTAACAGAAACAGTTTTGTGAACATTAATGGAATCCCCTGCTCATGCACCTTCTGTGTCTTCCCATTGGCCATATTATTGAGTCTGAAATCCTCTACTTATTTCCGTCCCTGTTTCTCCAGCTCTTCTATGGTAGCTGTCACCCATAATGCCAGGCTCCCACTATACTGGGCTGTTTGGGGTTTCTTTTCCCTGTACTCTTTCACATGCTATGAAACCTAGCTAAGACACACATCCCCTCTGTCCACCTGGCTAACTCCTGATTATCCTTTAGTTCTCCTCCAAGGCCTAAGTGAAGTACCTTCTCTAAAACTTATCCTGTTTACCCACAGTATATTTAGCCCCTAACACAATACAAGGTACATAAAGATTTCAGTGGTTTTTAAGTGAATTAATCAATATTCACTGTAATTACAAAGGATTATAATGATGATCTTTCATTTTATTTAATCTGATTGTATATCCTATACATTTCAAACCCTTTTTTGTTGGTGGTGGTATTGGTTTTGGGGAGTATTGTTTATGTTTTGTTTTGTTTTGTTTTGCTTTGTTTTGCAATGCTAAGAATTGAACCCAAGGCCTCACACATGCTAAACAAGTGCTCTACCAGTGAGCTATGTTCCCATCCCTTTTTGTCTTAATTTTGAGACAGAATTAAGGGTTTCTGGATTGCCCACAAAGTCTTCAAGTTTGCAGTCCTCCTGCCTCAGCCCCCTAAATGCTTAGGTTTACAAGTTTACATCCTGTTTACATTTTCAGGGAGAAAAAAACAAGTAGACTAAGCGTATTTTTCAGTACATATATTATTATGCCCTGCTTTATACAGTGCATCAGATCTAAAATATATTGAGATCTCCCACACTTTAACTGCCATAAGGGATTTTTAAATGATGTGCAATCATTGCTATATGATTCTGACTTGAATTTTTCAAAAGACCAAAAATTAAATATAATGATTACTATAACAACACAATGAAGCAGATCTCATAGAAAGGGCTTTCCTCTTAAATTTGTATATAGCAAAAATCAGCTTATATGGATATTTTTAAAGGTAGTCAAAAGATTTAGATTGTTGATTTAAAACACCAAAAACTATGTTTTTCTAGTGACAATAAACCCACTGATCACAGTAGAATTAGGCAATCAGGTTGTCCTTCAGGGCTTTTCCTTTTGGCAAAACTATTAACCTTCTAAAGAATTTTCTTTCAAATGCATCTGCCTAGCACAGAAAATGAGATCTAAAGGTGTAATATAAAAACATTTCTAAGAAAGTGAATGGTGTGTGAGCTTTTTTTAAAATTTGCTTCACAGTCATTTACTTTAAAAAATTAACATCTGCTATTTTGAAGCTAATCTTAGTGTGTTGAATGCCCTTAACCATTTCTCAATCCCACAGTCTTTTATCTTGCTTCTCCTGCTGTGTTCCCACCACCCCTGGTCCCATTAGCAAACCTTGAGACAGCCTCAGACTTACCAAAGTACTGCTTTGGTTTCAGCTGCTGTTCTGCAAGAGGAAGTGAGTGTTGGGGGTTTCTCTGTGGCACAGTTGTGATAAAGCTGTGGTGGTCTTATCTCTCTTTTAGGTAGTGGCTCTTTATGACTACACAGCGAGCCGATCAGATGAACTAACCATCCATCGCGGAGACATTATCCGAGTGTTTTTCAAAGATAATGAAGACTGGTGGTATGGCAGCATAGGAAAGGGACAGGAAGGCTATTTTCCAGCTAATCATGTGGCTAGTGAAAGTAAGTTTTATGCTCCCTTCCTGGTTTACTAATATGGTATAACTGATAGTCCAAGATTTTATCACTTTCTACTCTTTAATTTACTGTCTTTATAATCTTTTCCTATGTTTACCAGTGAGAATTACTTTTCATACTCATGATGCAAAAAATAGAAAGAGGAGGCACTAATGTGTCAGAAAGCTGTCTCATTCTGAGATTGGAATATTTGCTGATTGCGCTTGTCATCCAGGGGACTTGCCCTTCAATCTACGAGCTTGCTGCTTCAGCTCCTTGTACTCTGCCACCTGCTACACGCACTTTTGTCCCCTCTTCTCTTGCCACACTGACTCCTCAGTTGACCAGCATCTTAAGAGCCTCTAGTTCCTCACCTCCTACTCTTTCACTTTGTGTATCTCCCTCTGAGCTGGTTACCCAATAAAAGTACAGTAGCTTCATTCTTAAATACACTATGCCTTCATTTGTAAAAGGAACAAATGAACGAAAGACAAAACTCTATGAGTTTCTGAGAGCTATAGATTCAGTCCTAGGCTCTGAGAGATGAAAATAGAACACAGCAAGCTTGAAAATAAAGAAAATAATTTAAACCTATAACAAACGGGGAAAACTTAAGAAGTAGGGATTCTTAGAAGAATACATCCTGTCATCAGTTAACTTGAAACTGCTTTAAGAAAAGCACAACTGAGAGGAGTCAGGAAAAGACTTTTAATTCTTGCTCAGCAGCTTATACTGATGTGCCTCAGTTTCCTCCTGTGAAATGAAGATGTTGAGCTTTGTCAACTCTAAGCTTTCTTCCAGAAACATTAAAGTCATATGTTTAGGGTTAACATGTAATAAATTGAGAATTTGTTTTCAATATTTATTGTTAAATCTTTGTTTCTGAGAAGTAATTGTTATAAATAATAGTTGGTTTTCAAGACTAGTCCGTGAAGTCCCATTTGACCCAAACTATGATTCTTAACCTAAGTTACAAGTTTTGAGAACAAATGATCTGAAAAAATGAAGAAGAATTTCTTCTTTGATTACTCAGTGCACAGATAGGTCTAGATAAAATTATTTACTTGTGGCATCTTTTTTTTTTTTTTGGTACCGGGGATCGAACTCGGGTCCTTGGACTTGCAGCAGGTGGTGAAACCACTGAGCTAAATCCCCAGCCCCTACCTCTGGCATCTTACCTGCACCTCTTCCCAGTCTCAAGTGGCCCCAAGACTCTGCAGCTCCCTTCTTCAGCCTACAAGTGGTGATGCAAAAATGCAATGCATGTTTAGAGTTTTTAATGTATTAAAGTAATAGACTCATGCCATTAATCCCTCTCAGGATACGCCCCCCCATCACTTCGAACACGCTTATCCTGTCATTCTTTGCCACTTGTTGAAGCAGTTCTGGAAGTTTTCTTTTATGAGTGTCTTTAAAAAGTGTGATCAAAAATTTGGTGAATGCTACCTCAGAAGGCCTTCCATAGAAAGGCAGGCTTGTAAAAATATTACAGTGTGTCTCATCTGTCTTATTCACTGAAGTGGCACTGCACAACCTATGGCTCTTCCTCAAAGTCCAATGACCATGAAAGGTGAACATTTTGAAATGATTTAGGACATCAAGGCAGCCATAACAGCACAATTACTAAAGATGGTCATGAAAAAGGACTTCCAGAACTGCTTTAGAAAATGGCAAGACCAGTGGAAAAAGTGTATTCTAAGTGAGGGGGAGTATTTTGAGGAGAATTAATGGCAATGTATCTTATACTGCGTAATTTTTTCAATTTAAACACCATATATTTTGATTTTACCTCCTACCTGCTGCCTTCAGCAAACTCCCCTTCTTACAAATGCTTTCAGAAATTCTCTACCTCTCTATCACATAACATGATTCTTAATTTTCTGTGAGACAGTTTTAGCTATTTTTCTCTAAGAATTAAATGACTGATAACTTTTCAACTCTACTACAGATATATTTTTATGTTTAAAAGAGAATGCATACTGGAGAAAACTTGGAAGAAAGAAATTTTAGTACAGGTTAATTCCTAGTATGTACAGTATATGACAGTGTTTAACTCATCTCCAATAAGATCAGCACTTCTAACTTCCAGATTGTTGAAAATATCTAAGGTACCTCCTCTTCTCAGTGATGACGCACACAGGGGATCAATAGCTGTGGTTAAGCAGTGATAGCTCCTGTTTCTAAATCGAGAGCTGTCACACAATCATCATCACTGTGGAGGATGTCTGTAATTTCAACTCAATATTACAGTTCATTGTTTCTTTCAGATACGTTGAAATACATTTCAGATACATGAAAACATTTATAGATTTTTTTTTCACTTGGCTATAAAAAATTATGTCTCTAGGTAGGAGGATATTAGGTGCTGTAACATTAGTTAGCTGGCTTACAGGCTTGCCAATCTTGAGAGGCTATAGATATTTAGTCCACAGTAAGTTAAAATCTAATAAAATGTGTTTTTCTTTCACAATAACCAAAATCATCTCTGAAACATATCTGTGATAATCAGTCGATGGCTGCATACAAGATTCTTTGTCTCAAGTAATGACCATCCTGCAACCTGATATAATCTCTTATTATGTCACAGAATAATTGATGTTTTCTTTTGGCTTCACTCACTTGTTCTTGTAAAAAGCCTTATAGAGGTCAGAACAAACAGAAAAGAAATTTTTGAATACTTGAGAACATAATAATTGAATTCTCACACTGTATCAGAGGTTTTTTTTCTGTCATTTTTTATCCTTCTTTTTACCTGAATTTAACAAAAAACGTAACTGTCCAGTTTTAATAGAGGAAAATGACTCTCAGCAGCACATTCCACTCTATAAGTAGAAGGAATTGTCATTGATCTTTATCTGAAGCCAAATATGCAAAGCAAATGATCTAAGAAAGTATGTGAGCAAAATTTGTACCTGATGTTCAATTGAGAGCTGTGTCCTTTAAGAGAACAGCACAGTGGAAGAAGATGTTACCCCATTATTATAAAGGATTTGTTTTCTTTGTATCTTAAGCTACTGGAAAGAAAACATGATCAGCTTCCCTTAATCACGTCTAACAACCTTTTCTGTAAAAGATAAACCCAATAATAATACCAGCCCATACACAAAGGCAGTGAATATATTTGATGTACTTTAGATTCAGAAATTTCTCTCTATTAAAGTTGCTTTTAACCAATTTGAAAATAGATTTTTTTAACTCTTTAAAATTCCCACAAGACTCTGTAGATTTAATACCCCATATGTCAATTCAGTAAACTTTACAGATTGTAACATTTGGTTGTAAGAATCTTAGATTCAATCTGTGTAGCCTAATCCATACTTACTCATTTCATTCAATATTCCCAGATTATCCCTTGTCCACACCTCTCCCTAGCAAACCCTACCTATTCTTCAGATGTATCATACCTGCTAATTCCATTCAGCGTTTTCGAATTCTACATCATTTTGTCTTTCTAATTAGCTCTCTTTCAACTAAGGACACATTATCTATGGCCATACCCCCCTGAACGAGCCTGATCTCGTCTCAAATAAGGACACATTTTATACTATACTTACAAACATATCTGTGACCAGCTTGTAATCTCCTTGAGAGCAAAGACTCTCTTTTGTTCACCTTCATCGTTCGTCCAGTAGGACCTAGCAAATAATCTTACATACAGCAGAGTCCTGGTAAATGTGTATTTGGATAAAATGAAATAAGCATCCACGTGACTGCATAGTAAGTGAAAGTAACACCCTCTACATTTCTGAAATCCTCATTAAAGTTTGGCAATCATAAATATGTAAGACAGCAAATTAGTGCTACATAGCTTTTTGTTACAGGAAAGAATTGAGTATCTCTTTCTCTTTAATTTCACACCTGCTGCCCTCCATCATTGTTTTTCCCCCCATGGAACAATGCTTCCCAGTTTAATTACATGAATTCCCTTTCCAATTCCAGCACTGTATCAGGAACTGCCTCCAGAAATAAAGAAGCGATCCCCTCCTTTGACCCCCAAGGAAAAAACCAAAACAGAAAAACCTGCAGCTCCTCAAAAGGTAAATGTTTTCAAGAATATGTGTTGCATATGTACTTTGGTATTTTTCACTCTTCCGGTATAAAATGCTCCTTCATTTTTCCATGCTTTTAATCCTTTATTATTTACATTATTGTTTCAGTCTTGACCCAATATTATGAAATATATAAGGCAAATTATAGTCATTCTCCAGATAAGGAAACTGAGAAGGCTCAGAGAGATTAAAGTAGACTGCCAAGTTGCAGCCTAAGAGATGGGACAAGGACCCAAAGTGGAAATTGTGACTTGAAGTGTGATAACTGTTTCTGCTCTGTATTTGTTTAACTGTGATACTGACACTGCTATCAGCCCCACCTGAGAGGAATATAATTAATGCCAGAGTCAGTGAAGCGCACAGGATAGACATGTTTGATCTTATTTGGAACATTTCGTCTACTTCTAAAACACTTTCAATTTAGAATAATATGGATGTATTATCATGTATATTATTAGTCTGCCATCAGATCCCTCAGAGACACCAGTCTGTAGTCTTCTGATGTCAGTAGTACTTTGGTAGAAAAGTTTAACAACCACTATATTATCATATATATTGCCTATTAAACTTGTTTTACTTTATGACATTAGATCTTGCCTTAGACTGTGTAGCTTTACTACTTCTTTTTTTTTTTTGGTACTAGGGATCGAACTAGGGTTCTTGCCCTTGCAAGGCAGGCGGCAGAACCACTGAGCTAAATCCCCGGCCCACTTTACTACTTCTTGACTCTTTATGAACTCACACACACAAGAACATGTCCTGTACATATCATTACAGTGTCATGATAAAGTTTTTTAACAGTCATGTATCATTCAGTCATTCAGCAGTTGCTTATTGAATTCTTCCATGCCAAGCAGTCTCTTAGTCCCCACTGAAACAGAGCAGACAAGGCATTTATCCTTAAGGAGCCTAGGGGCTTGTGGATGAGACTCCTGTAAGCCAGCAAGTACAATAGCCTGCAGCAGAACTGTAATGAAGATATGTGCACAATACATCAGAAACGGGTAGGTAGGAAGCCTTAAATCTTCCCTAGAGACTTCCAGGAAGTTCCTAGTGGAGAAAATGTTGAATTGAGGCTTCTAAGATGAGAAAGTATGTACTAGGTAGGTAAATGTAGCAAAAAAGCATTCTAGCTGAGGGAATAACTTGAGTAAGGTATGGTATGTTACAAGCATGTTTAGAGAGCTTAGGTCTAATGGAGAAAGGGGCAGGAAAAAGACAAAAGCCAGGCTCCAGAGAACATGGTGTACTGTACTAACTAAAATGCTTAGATTTTTATCCTCCAGACAAAGGGGTTTCGATGAAGGAATGAAATGAAGGGGATCTGCATGTTACAAAGATCATTCTAATGTCAGCACAGTCGTTGGATTAAAGGTAGCTAAGACATAGTGCAGTGATGGCAAACCTTTTAGATGAGAACCCAAACTGCAACCCAGAACCCACTTACTTATCGCAAAGTGCCAACACTAAACCTGAATACTGAGGTTTTAGTTTAGAAAAAACAACTCATACATTAACATCCTTTGTCTTAAAAGAAAAACAAATAACACACATGCCATAGGTTCACCGCCACTGACCTAGTGCAAAGAAATTAGTTAGGACTCCATTAATATATAAAAGCCTGAACTAGTGAGGATAGAGAAGAGGGGACATAAACTATAACTGCCTGGAGTTATGATGAATTAGAGGTGATTAGTGAAGTTGGAATCTAAGATTTTGCCAAGGGTCCTGGCTTATACAACTTCGATAGATGGCAGTGCCACAAAAATAATGAAATGCACTAGGATGATTTGGGGGAGATACAAACAAGCGATAATGAGGAGTGAGAAATAAGTTCGGTTTTAGGTGTCAGTTTCTTATTGGTATCTTCATTACTCACAGGTAGAAATATTCACAAGGGTCCAGAAATGCAGGATTGAAAATTGAGAGGAAGTAGAATTTCAAAATCAAAAGAAGACAAATTAGTGTATTCGTTGTGTATCAGTAAGTAGAAGCTTGTAGTGAAAGTAGTAACTCAGAAAGATAGTTGTTGAATTCTAAAAGAAAGCTAAAGGCAGAATCCATTTGAACACTAGATTAAGGCAAATCAAAGAAAGAGAAAATTAAGAAAGAATACTTAAAGAAAAAAGAAAGAACCAGAAAAAAATAGGGCTCCAGAAGGTAGGCTAAAGAAGAAAGGTTCAGGAAAATTTTGGAAAGAGGCTAGCCATTAGGTTTCTAAACATTTAGCAACCAAGAGGACCATAGTAGTTTTGCATTGTATCTGTAGATTGACAAGGATTAAATGGTAGATTAAAGGTTGATTGGCATTGCAGCAGAATAACTCATGTAAGTCATTCTCAGAGCTTCACTTTGAAGACTAAAAACAATCAAACAGTGGCTGGAGAGAGAATTGGCATCCAAGAATTTTTTAAATATTGGAGAGCCACGTAAAATCACTTACTAAGGAAACAAAGCCAATGAACAGGTTCAAGGTAAATAAAGCACACTGTGATTGTTAATTGTGATTTGTCAACTTGATTGGATTAAGAAACACCTGGCAGATTCGTGGAGCACAGTTCTGGGTGTGACAGTGGATGATTGACAGGTGGGCTGCAAACTGAGGAGGGAAGACTCAAGCCGGATGGGAGTAGCACCAACCAATAGGCTTGTAGCCTAGATGAAAAAATAAAGGAAAGAAGAAAGAAGTCTTCCCTTTGCATCTTAGGAGGAGTTGCTGTCTTTGCCATTGCCTTTGGAAGCTTGTCTCCAGTTCCTCAGGCTCCCAGCACAGACTCTTCAGCCTTCTGATACAGATTCGCACTGGACTCTGCAGTGAGCTTCAGAGCTTCATCCTCCCACTGGATCCTCTGGCCTTCCTGTATGCAGATGACCATTTTGCATTCTTCCACCACTGATTCTGCAGGTGGCCATTGTAAGCCCACTAAGTAAATCCTTTATATGAACACACACGTGCGCACACACACTTTATTAAATCTGTTCCTCTAGTGAGCTCTGATACAGACACCAAGGACACGGTCGATCTTGGAGGAAGCAGGAAATTTTCTATCAGAAAGCCAGGTTAATAGCTGAATCTTGACTTAAAGCAGTTGTTCTAAATTAATGGTGATTTTGCCTCTTGGGAGATATTTGGCAGTGTTTGGCTATTTTTGTTATCTCAGCTACAAGGACGGAAACCCTACTGGCTTCTAGTGGATTTTGCTTACCCACCTAGATGCAAAAGACAGCCTTCTCAACAAAAAACTATCTAGCAAAAAATACCAACAGTGCCAACATAAAGTTGTACCCCTCTAAGATAAGTAAGTATGGGGATGCAGACAGGTTGAAATCTAGAAATTTAAGGATATCTTTATGTTCTCCAAAACAAGAAAGCATGGCTCACTATTAATGTAGTTGAGGGGCAAACGATGAAATAGGAGCTCAAACAAGAGAGACCATGTGTATACCTATAAAGAAAGTAGGAACAAGGGGCTGGGGATTTAGCTCAGTGGTTCTGGTGCCTGCCAGAACTCAAGCGCAAGGTCCAGAGCTCAATCCCCGGTACCAAAAAAAAAGAAAGTAGGAGCAGGAGCTCATTTGGGACAAGTGAAAAAGATTCCTCAGTAATTTGGGGAGCTGTGGTCTGGATACCACAAATCTATGTAGTTGGATTTTTTTTTCCTCAATAGTGCAATAGAAAAGGCAATTTTGGTTTGCTATGTAATTGAAGTTGTGTGTGTGTGTGTGTGTGTTAGAAAAACAAAGCAAGAGATTTGATAGCCTTGATAAGAGAGTCACTGGAGTGATACACTATAGAGGATCAGCCAGATTGCAGAGTTTTAAAATCAAGAAAGACTGGCAGACCTAGAAAGCTAGGTTCTCTACAAGGTTACACTAAGCTAACCTAGCCTGGGTAGAAGCATAGAGGCATAGAGTAAAGGAGTTAGTAAGCTGGGACTACTATAGCATTTAAGGCCAGAAACTTACTTAATACTTCAGGTATCAAACATTCTTTCTTATGATCAATTCATAATGCAAAAGAGCTGAATGAAATCGAAGGACACATTAGAATCGAGCTGACCAAGGAACTAGAACCCCAGAGTGTTGGACAGCTTGTACCCTTGAACATTAAAACTCCAGAGCAATAGCAAAAATTGGAATGAACAGGAAACCAGTGAAACAAGAGCTGATGTCCTAAATTATTGGGTTAGAACAGAGCTCTCAAACTTGGCTAAGGAATTAATTCACCTAAGGAATTAATGCAGTAGAAACACAACATTGCCATAGGAAGTCATTGTAACAGCTGACATTTTTAGTCTATTTCTGAGACTGAGATTCTGTGAAAGGTACATTCTTTACTTGTAGTGTCTTACTGGCATCCCTGACTTTGCATCACTGACTAGGATATTGAGGCTGACTGACTACTTCCTCTAAGTGTATTTCTGTCCAATATCTGCAAATTAATTCTGCCTCGGCCAGAGGAGATAAAAGGAACTCTCAGTCTCTTACTGGCTCTCTGTGAAATTGGTACTACCCTTCATCTTCTGATGTGTCTGTATTCCTTAGGATGAGGACTTCTTGTTCCCAAGACTCCCAAGTTCTCACTGTCTGTCCATTCCTCTACTTAGATGGACTTACTGCATCCTGGTCTTGGTTCAGAACATAGTTTTTTTTTAACTTTGTGCAGCTTTTCCCTTACAGACTGATCTTGTTGCTTTAGACATACCTTTATATTCATCTCCTACCAGATCAGTTCTTCAAATAGCCCACTAGCCCATTTGACTCTAGAGGTCTGCTTCAGGCTAATCTTATTGGTGCCAAACCCTATTCTAATAATCCTTATGAAAATTATACACATTCAAAATAAAATACTTTTTAAAATGAAATAGGACTGGGCCAGAGCAGGTGGTTTGATCCCCAACACAGTTAAAAAACAATAAAATTAAGTAAACCAAAAGTGTTACGGAGTATAAAAATCCATTTGGATAAAAGAAAAGTTCTCATGGAGG